TGTCCTGGTGTCATGCACTGCACATCTGAAGCCTTCACGGTCAACAAGCATCCTCTGGATGGCCCCTGAACTTGCGTTGACCTCCTGGCATGCCATTCGGGTCGGGAAGTTATTTTCCAGATGGAAACCCAAGAGGTTCCCCTTTTGCCTCCAGGCTCCTGCTCAGAGATGCGGCAGCCGCGGTTGCATTGACCTCTTCCTCTGTCGATCTTTTCTAGCTTTGTTCCCTCCGTCCACCCATTTTTGGTGGAGATGGCCAGAAGTCAGCCAGGGGCTTTTGCGTGTGGAAGTGTGTGCTGGCAAAGGGGTTCCTCCTGAGCATTGAAGCAGCTGGCCCAAAAGTCACGCAGGAGCACCCTTCCCTAACCGATCCCACCTGAGTGGGGTGGGGTGGAACAAGCCTCCATTTCTTCTGTGCCTCTAAGGTAGAGATCAAAATCCATTTGCCAGATTCGTAAGAGTTGCTAGTGAGTGCCGCAGGAGTAGTCAACATTAAAATAATTGAACAGCCCCGGAAAAGGTGGGTTATTAGCCATGGTAATAAAAAGTATTAAAATTGCATTAAAGGTGTAATAAATATATACAGAAGGATGTTAAGACAAGGCTCTGGGAAGTGAATAGTGGTTTGCAGCTCTTTGAAGAAGGCTGGTTGGGCAGCAGTGGATGCTTGGCTCTCCTGGCCACATTTGCCGACTCACAAGGTTCGGGGGCTTTAGATGGAAGATGATATTCACCGCCGCCACCCCCACTGCCTGCTGGAAAAGGCAGGACACAATCCAACCTGGAAGCGCTCTTAGGCGAGCCTCACTGGAATACGTGGGCCAGTTTTCTGCAGTGCCCTCCCCTCCTCTCCAGGTGGCACACCTGGTCCACTGCTCCCCAGGGGAGGGGCAGCCCATACAAGGAGGGGCTGAGGGGAAGGGGGCAGTGCAAAAGGCCTGGAGGCCCCGATTCCTAATTCAGCCTCTGATTTCAAAACTAAGACTTCTAAAGCGAGGATCCTGCGGTTGCACCCATGGCCGGTCCAGGCAGTATGTTTTCCTGCAGGTCACTGCTCGGGTTTTAGGGTTGTGACACAGCACAAGCACTATGTCCAGCCCGCTCAGCCTGGGTGGCATCGTGCTTTCCCAGTGTTCCCCTCTGTCCTGCCTCTGTTGTGGGCAAGCAGTGACGCGATGCCTCTGCCCCGGCCTGTTAGCACAACCGCAAACGCCGGCCCCGTGCGATGCCACCGTCCCACACGGTCAGCTCGGCACGCGCTCTGTGCCCCGAGCCCCATCCTGTGGTTCCATTCAGGTGCTTCTCGCCCTGCACGGGGCACGGAGAGACTGGCCTGAGCGACGGCTGCCGTCGGCCACTCGCCATCAGAACGGCAGCGCAAGGGCTCTTCCGTGCCGCACCACCGCCGAGCAGCTTCCTGTGGTAAAAGCCATCCATTTCCCAGGAGAGGCGTCCCTAATGTCAGGCTGATTTTATGAATTGGAAAATTGAATCTCTAATGAATTAATATGGGTAGCAAAGCCCGGACAAATGCGCCTGGAAGAGGAACGGGGACGGTCTGCCAAGTGGCCTTCTGGGACCCAGAACGCCTGAAATGGCAGGGAGCTTATTGCAAATGGATGAGTTCAGTGGGCGGATCAGACAGGGCTCACTCTCTGCCTGCCATCACTCTGAATTGCGCACACGCCGTCCCTGCAGGAGGGCTCATCCTGCCCTTCCACCCAGGCTGGGGCTGGGAGTGATGGAGGGGAGTTGCTGCGTGCCCCCCGAAACACAGCCTGCATCAGCGGTGAGGTTCGACCTTCCTCAAAGTGCAGGGAAAATAGAGCACCACGAAGTCTGCAGCTTCTTCAGTTTTCCTGAGGGGATTCGTGGCTGCTGCGTTTAGCACCAGCTACATCTTTTCCTCGCTTTGGCCCTAAGGCAGTGGCTTTTAATGGCAAGGCATTCCACAGTGCCTCACCTGAACAAACAGACTCTCCTTCCTTAAAAAACATAAAAAATAATTTAAAAATTATTTGGTAGCCCTCCTTGTACCACGTGTCAAAATGGGCAGTAGCTCTGAGGTCCGGCATTCACAGGTCTAGAATTTCTCTGTCGGAAGCAGCTGCAATCAGCCGGTTCTGGAATCAGTCCTGCCAGGAAGAAGAGTCAGTGCCTTTCCTTCTGGAATCCTGGACCGAAGCTCCAGCAGGCTGGGTCTCTTCCACGCCGTCTGGCTGACCACTGCGACCGATCCGGCCGTACAGCCAGTTTTGGCGTCCACCTGCCGCCATTCCACGGCAGCGTTCCCGCCGGGCCCCGCTGTTTATCAAGCTTGGATCGGTGGTGCTGACGGCAGCGGCTTATTTATAGGAGCAAATGGCAGCCTTCGTGATGCAGGTTCTGGGAGAATGTAAATCAAGTGCAAAGGAGGGGAATGCTTCCTCTCAGCACTTTGGAGAAATGCGGCGTGGCACGTCTTGACCCCTGCCTGCTCCCCCAGCTCACCTTGCCATTTGCACAAAAGAAATCCCGGAGCAAGCACCCTTCCACCCTACTTGTGGATTCAGGGCGGAGAGAAGAAAGGGGTGCTTCACCTCATAACCTGATGGATTGCTGTTCACGACCCTGTGCCATTCCCCTGAGCAAACCCAGGGAAACTTCCCTCTTGAAGACCACCTCCTACAGCAGAGGTGAGCTTTAACTAGGAAGTTCTCGATTTGCCCATCGATCTCTGATCAGTATTTCATTCCGTTGTTCTACACAGTTGCGCCGGTGATGACGCAGGTATCGGCAGGTTTGGGGAGCCGATTCCCGTGATGCCCTTCTCAGGAGCATTCCAGCTCTTCCAACGCCTCCCCGGGGGCAGAGAGGCAGTTGAAACAAATAGCACTGTGGTCCAGCAACCCCTGAATGAAAGCGGCCAGTTCTGCGGCCCTGGACCACTGAAGGGTTTAACAATTAAGCATTTGCGGCAGGAGAGCTGAAAAATGCTTTTGCTCTGCCGGACTGAGCAGTCGTTCTATTAAGGTGATTGTTTTCCCTCCAGCTAATGGCTGCAATTTAGAAATTGCACACATCAGGTCAAACCTCTTGAAATCCTTCTTTGACCTGGACTGGGTAGACCAGGAGCTTCAATAAGCATGTCTGTGGAACGGAGCCAGGATCCAATTATGCCTCCGCTAATGGCTCATTACTTACCATGAAAGCCCACAGTGCTCACTGATGGTGGAGTCTTGGAGAGCAGGAGAATGCGGCCTTGGCTGTGAGGAAGCACTCGCCGCGTGGAGCACAGCGGCTCCCAGCTGTTGGGATGCAGAGGCACACTCTGCTCTCTGGCATTTGGACACGCCCCTGTTCAGGCGTCGTTCGACGGGCACGTCCGTGTAGCCCACGGCTCATTCCCAGGCTCCCTGCAGTGGGCCTAGCCCTCCAGAGGGAGCTGGGGACAGAGGAGGCATCCACGGGTTTGCGTGCTGTGGCTGGAACCAAATGCAGACCTGAATGCAGTTGGCGGCGGCAGGTTGGGGCCTCTCCTCATTCCCTCGTTTGTGTAATGCAAAGTGCCAGTGAAGAGTGTCTCACAAGGCGCGCCCTTGGAAAATGCGTGCGTGTCCACAAAGATGCTTTGGTTGATGGGGATGTGCTCCAGCAGGTCACAGTTCAGTTCGAGCGACAGGATCCGGTGGGGCTGCCCGGGGCCACTGAGACGTGGCTCCGCTCGGAGCAGGCTACCCCGCCACAGCCGTTGGGTGGCTCCTGAGCATCTCAGCCTGGCACTGAGTGGGCCTCAGCTCAGGGTGGAGACCCACGTGGACTGACCCTCAGGGAAACGGCGTTCGGGCTCTGCCATATGTTCTCGTGCCCTTTAGCGGACTCTCGTCTTGGGAGGCGGGGGCCATGCGGCACACAGGAGAGGCCTGTGGGAAGATGGATAGCAGGAAGCGGCTGAGTCTCTTTGGTCATGGGCTGTTTAGGTCTTGCCGCATGGAATCTAATAAACCTTTCACATTGTGTTATTACATTTGGTCCTGCCATTCTGTCTCGGAGTGAATAATGCTAAAGTAATATGGATGAGCGGAATTAGATTACTCAGAAATAAAGCCAAGTAAAGGGCAGACGGCACGTTATTGGGAGTGGAAAGGATAGGCAGTCACCAGAGTGGGAACAGTCTCCCAAGGGGGACGTGTACCCGAGGGAAAGCCAGTTGTTGGTGGGTTGCTGTTGAGAGAGGGAGGGAGGGAGGGATCTTCTTGTCGGTCATTAAACGTAGAATCAGATGGGGAAACGTGGGGCACAAAGTGCCAACCTTCCTTCCGCATACGCAAACCCGCACGGCCAACCACCAGTGTTCCAGTGCAGGCAGCCAGCAATCAAGCCCGCCTGGGGAAGACAGCCGGATGGCATGGGACCCTGGCCCCTCTGTCCAGCCAGGAGGCGCTTGCTGTCTCGAGTGGGGAAGTCTCTCCAGAAATAGCGAGGGGCATAACTGAAACGAGGAGCACGGCTGTGGCTGGCGGTCACCTCTGTGATGTGCAGTCAAGGAGTGTCCACCTTTCCTTCCAAACCCTCATGAGGCTTGGATTGGTGAGAAAGCACCAGCGATTCTGGGGCGCTCACAGAGCACTCACTCAGCTCGGGGGTCCGTCGGGAGCACTGACGGTGTGGTTACTAAGGATGCTGCCATGAGCTGCCCCAGGCACGGAGAGGAGCGTGGCTAGTCTCACGAAGCAACGGGATGCCTACAGAAGTGCCTCATAGGAAACGCTTGAGAGACATCTGCTAACTTTCCTCTCAGCTGCAGCTTTGCTGGTGATTTGGGGGTTAATCCATAGGACTGGCCCTACACACACATCCCTCCTCAAGGAGCTTTGTTAAAGGACCCACATCCTAACGTTTTCCCTACTGGACAGGTCTTGCACAACCCCAAAGTCCCGGCTGTCACGCTGCTACCTTTTGTCTTTTGCTTGGTGTGTACTTTCTGTTTCAGCATCTGTCCTCTCTCTTTTTTCTCGCAGTCTCTCTCCAGGTGAACATAGCGCCAAATAAGGTGGAGGTTCCTGTTGGAGAGTCCAAATTCTTCTTGTGTCAAGGTGAGTGATGCTTTGCCCTCTTGGTCAGTTGGGTTGGCTTGATGTGAAACATTCCTTCCTTCTTCCCATGTCGAGCGCAGAAGCCGTGAGACCCAGCTCCCTTTGAGGTCCCAGAGATTCCCAACCCAGACGATGCGCTGTATTTTATAGCTGAAAGAGGGTTGCCCAGAACTGAAATCCTTGTAGCTTAGTCGGGTTAGCAGCAAATTTTGAAGATGAGCAGGGAACCTGTTCTGCTTCCATTAAGTACAGGTAGAACGGAAACTCTCCAAAGATGTGGTTGACGACACTCAACATACCACAGCAAAGTGGAAGCAACTTTCAAATGGGTGGAACTGTCATGGCATCTCCCTGGGGAAGCCTAGGATTTGAGGTTTTCCACTGCAAACTGAGGCCTAGGATCCCTGCTTACCTGTTTTAGAGCTGCTGTTTGTCTCTGCGTATCAACCCCAGTTCCGGTGCCGGAATGAGCATGCCTTATCCCTTTGGTTCTAGTGACTGGCGATGCCAAATCCAAAGAAATCTTCTGGTTCGCTCCCAACGGTGAGAAACTGACAACAAACCAGCAGCACATCTCAGTGGTGCGAGCCGAGGACTCATCCACGCTCACCATCTACAACGTCAACATAGATGATGCCGGCATCTACAAGTGTGTCGTTTCCAGCGAGGAAGGGGACGAGGAGGCCACGCTCAACGTGAAGATCTTCCGTAAGATGCCAGAACCCCTCTCCGTGACGGGGCCAGCTGGGGATGGGGAGCTTTGAAGCTGGAGAGGCGCTTCTTCCATTTGCCCTTCTCCCACCCTGGGAGGAGTTCTGCTCCCTGGGAAGCCAGGAGGGGGGAGTGCTGACTTGGGGGGCCGCGTCCAGCATTGTCCCTGCGACATGGCCAGCCCTGAAATCAGTGCTTTTATTCTCTCTGTGTGTGCATCCAGCTGCTGCCTTTTCTTTTTACTTAATGTTAACCAGTTTCAGCCCTTTGAGGGTTGCATCATTCCCATTGTCATGGTTTCAGAGAGTAGTGGAGAGTAACCCTGTGTGAGAAATCTGTCTTTGACTGGGGCATGTCAGAACCCTGCGCTGGCACCGTCCTTACCTCTTCCACATCAAGGCGGGGGACCCGGGGGTCACTGTGGCCAAAGGCCTCTGCTTCCTGCTCTTGTTGCAGCTCTTTCTGTGTCATCTCGACGCTGTAATCTGCCTTGATTTATTGCCGTGCAGTTAAAGATTTATCTTCCTGCTAGTTGTCTGCTGGATAAAGGCAGGGTATAAATATTTTCATGCTCAGTTCAAACCCTCCACTCACTTGCAAAATGGTCACCAGATTCTGTTGAATGCTGGGGGAGATGCAAGCGATGCTGGAAGGATTTGGCTTTTCGCAGGCAGTCTACGGGTGGGGTCATTTGCCGGCGCTTCCTAGAGCTCTCTGGCCTTCGTCCCCTGCTCGGGACATGTGCTTGGTTCGGACGTGCCCCCGATCGCTTTGGTGCCGCCACACTACCAGTTTTGTGCGTGACATCCTACAGGGTGTGTGACACTCCTCTCCATTCCCTTCCCCTGCTTTCCAGAGAAGCTGACCTTCAAAAATGCCCCCAGCCCTCAGGAGTTCAAAGAAGGGGAAGACGCCGTCATCGTGTGCGACGTGGTCTCCTCGCTTCCTCCCACCATCATGTGGAAGCATATGGGCAGGGACGTTGTTCTGAAAAAGGATGGTAAGATGGCGGCGGCGAGGGGTGGGCGGAGGCTCTCCAGGTAGCTGCCGTCATGGCAGTGCCGCGGTCTCATCCTGCAACCTGGCTGCCAAGCGTGGACGGAGCAGGATGCCACAGGCGAGATGGCACTGCCGTGACGAAGCGGTGGGACGTGGCCATGTGTGAGCGAGGCTCAGTATCTGGGCACAGGCGTGACAGGCTAGAGAAAGGCGCCACGCTACCTGTTATACTTCCTTGCTGCAACAGGCCGTACTTCCTGCATTCATTCACTACGTTACCGGTTCGATTAGGGCTGATTTCTTCCAGGACCTGCTGGATTTAGCCAACGTCTGTCGCTTTGAGCAACGGGGGCAGGGTCTCCGAGGGAGGGGGCGGCATCGTGTGGTCAAGCGCAGTGCCCAAGGTGACACGCGGGCTGGCTCGGCAAAGGGCTGTGACGGCCTTTCCGTCCTGTTTCTTCCAGTGAGGTTCGTGGTGCTGTCCAACAACTATTTGCAGATCCGAGGGATAAAGAAAACCGACGAAGGGACGTACCGCTGCGAAGGGAGGATTCTGGCCCGTGGGGAAGTTGACTTCAGGGACATCCAGGTGGTTGTCAATGGTGAGTTAGAATCAGAAAATGGGCATTAGCTGTTCTGACAGGCAGTAGCTCACTGAGAATGCTCACCAGACCATCCAGGGATCCAGATGCAGATGAGGGCAAGTCTCAGGCCAGTGTCCCAGGAGGTACCGTGTGTCCCCTGTTTCTCTGACAAGCCCACATTGATCCACATCACAGGAATCAAAACACAACACTCTGGGGGTCCGGAATGCCATCTGTGGAGAAACACACACATTCCAGCTGTTTCCCCTTGAGAACAGCTGTTCAGGAGCTTGGACTGAGTCCCTCCAAGGCTGCCCCAAAGAGGAAGGTTGAGATCTCTTCTTGCTGATGCTGGAGTGCAGGACACGGAATAATCAAGTCAAGTTGCAACAACCCAGATTCAGGCTAGAAACCAGGAAGAGCTTCCTCACTGTCAGAGCAATACGACAGTGGGACCAGCTGCCTGGAGAGATGGTGGGCTCTCCCATGCTGGAGACATTCAAAAGGAAACTGGGCAGCCACCTGAGTGGGATGGTGTGAGTGGGTGTCCTGCAAGAGCATGGCTTGGACTCGATGGCCTTCATGGCCCCTCCCAGCTCTGTGATTCTGTGACTTCTCTCCTGGACCTTGGGAGCATGCCTATTTTCCCTTCTGCGCCCTTCCCTTTCAGTGCCTCCGACTGTTCGCTCCAGGCAGGGCACTGTGAACGCCACAGCGAACCTCAGTCAGTCGGTCAAACTGGTGTGTGACGCCGACGGCTATCCAGAGCCAACCATCAGCTGGACCAAGTAAGATGTGCTTGCCTTCATTATCAGGGCCCAGAGGGCACCCGGCAGGGGGTGGGGTGGGCGGGCAGGCCACGGCTGGGTGCCATCACACGCTTCCATCCCGCTGGACTTTCTCCAGCAACCAGCTTTGTGCTCTGCAGGGACGGGGAGTCTATTGAAAGAGGGGAGGACGACGAGAAGTACAGCTTCACCTACGACGGCTCGGAGCTGACCATACACAAGGTGGAGAAGAACGACGAGGCCGAGTACGTCTGCATTGCGGAGAACAAGGCTGGCGAGCACGACGCCAGCATACACCTCAAGGTGTTCGGTGAGTTGGGGCTTCCTGGTTCCTGCTCCCCCCGCTCTCTCCCTGACTCAGCCCAGAGTGCACAGAGGCAGGGCCTCGTCCTGGCCTTGCAACACCAGGCTTGGTGTATCTAAAAGAACATTCCTTGTGTGTAAGGTGGGCTTGAGAGCGTGTGAATGGGCCTCGTGAATTCGTATGTGCTCCTTAGTGTGAGGTTTGTGCCCGCATCAGGCGGGAGCAAAGATCATGCCGTCAGCCAGTAAGTTTGTATTTCCTTTACATGGCATGGGGTTGTATCTTACGTACTTTAATGCCAGTAAAACACAGAAGTAAAAGCAGGAAAACATTTTTCTGTGTTGGCGTGTACCCCATGAAAGGGGAAGGGCATACTCTGTCCAAAGTTCTATTTTAAAATCCAGAAAAAAACAACAAAAATGCCTGTTTTTATCTTTGTTGCTTTGGATTTAAATTCCATTGTAAAACATCCCTGGGATGAATGTTTACAGCACCTGCTCATTGCCAGCTCTGGGTACAGTCCTGGGCATGCCTGGACTGCAGGAAGTCCTACAGTTCCCCATGGCTAAATGTGCACTCAGGGTTGCTCTCCCTGGGTAGATCTGGAGTGTGTAGGACCGAAAGTTTGCCTTGGCTTCCTAGTACGCTGCTGTTGCTGATGATGCTGTTGCTGTTACAGCAGCATTTTGTTTCTTTAGAGCTGGGTCGTGCGTACAGATTGCGCAACATGGATCTGATGCTTTTCAGTCCTGCGGCTAGGCATAGTCCGACTCTCTGGGCTCAAGCCCCATTGAGTTTCATGGGAACAGAACTTAATTGGGTGGACTTGCATGGCTGGCGCAAGAGGCCAGTGCCCTGTGTGTTCAACAGCCTGTGTGTGTGTGTGTGTTTCTACCATTTCTCCAGCAAAACCCAAAATCACCTATGTGGAGAACAAAACTGTCATGGAGCTCGAAGACCAGATCACCCTGACTTGTGAAGCCTCCGGAGACCCCATCCCCTCCATCACCTGGAGGACCGCTCTCCGGAACATCAGCAGCGAAGAGAAGGTATCCCGTCTCCACAGGTCCGTTCTTCACAAGCCGGGCCAGCGACAGTAGAGTGGGTGAGCCAGGAGCAAGGCTGGAAGCGTGTGGCCCTCTGGATGTCACGGGGCTGCAGTTCCCACCCACCTTAGCCTGTGCAGCCGATGGTGAGGGGCGTTGCGGTCCAGCGACATCTGGCGGGCGGGCGCACGCTTGCCACCCTGGCCTGCGCCTCCTCTACTCCCTTTTCCAGGCCGCATAGCAGTGCACACTGAAACCGGCGCTCCTCTGGGCAAGGCTCAGGCAGAGGCGTTGGCGCTGTCCTGGCCGCCCTGCACCCTTTCCCCCCGGCAGGAATCCGTGCAGCAGCTCCCCAAAACCAGGAGATCTGTGTGGCTCGCAAGGGGCCCAAGGTGGAGGGAGGCGAGGCCTCTCAAGACCAGCAGGTGCCTTGGTCGGCAAGCTGCAAATTGCCTGGGACTCCCCGGCATACACCCCTGGCCAGGGTTTGACGGAGGCATTCAGAACGCCAGCAGGCGGACACCTGGTGCAAGCCCAGATGGCTCCTTTGACATAGGTGAAGCTGCAGCGGTAGCCTCGGTTTCGCTTGTCGCTGCCTGGCTAGAAATGCCTGGGATTGACCCGGAGACTTGCCGAATCATAGCGGTAACCCGTGGGGGAGGCGCACTAGGGCCAGGTGAAGAGCCCCTGCCTGGAGAGCCCCATCCAGCCCCCCGGCAGCCCCACTGTGCTGCTCTGCCCCGTTGTGCCATTCCTGATCAATCCAGCCTCATATCCTCGCACACCACTTCTCTGCCTTCGTCCCACCGTGTGGCTTAAAAGAACGGTCTTCCAACCTACAGAAGACAGCAGCCATCAGCTCCCTTCCACCGGGAATTTGGTGCCGGCCGCGGCAGCAGTGCAGGGGCCACATTGGGCCTGGGGGCTGCCCGAGCCCATCCCTTGATCCTGCCTTTGGAAAACGCTTGGTGGCTTGGGAGATGCTTCCAGCCGAAACCTTGCCACACATCGAACGGACTGGGTGCTGGTCCAAAGGCCAAGCTTACCCTTCTCAGCCAGGCGGAAGATTATTTCTTTGCTGGCCTAAATATTCTCTTTCAGTACCTCCTGGCAGGCCCAAGAACTTCCATGCCTTGCTGACTGGTCAGGCTTGGGGTGCACCTCTCTGACTCCCTGCTTGGCCTGCAGGGCATCTAAGCGGGGAGGTGCCCCCGCTTTTGCCCAGAACAAAGGGGCAGAGGCTGATGCTCCGGTTCCAGTGTGTGTCCTCGTTGCAGCAGCAGCGACTGTGAGGGGCATTTGTTGGCAGGGAGGGGCAGGGCCGAGAGGGGCAGAGATGTTTCAAGAAGCCTGAAAATGCCTCTGTGGACCAAAATTAGCCTGCTGATGCTTTTCTCTCTCTTGGTTTCCTGCACTTGTATTCTCACTCTGCACGTAACTCCAGGCACAAAAGCCTCCGCTGCCTTTGTGTTCGCTTGTTAACTGTTGTTGGTCATATATCGAAACCATTTTTGTTCTTAATGGCAAAAATAATTAGCAGTTTTGAACCAAAGATGATGTCACCAGATAAGACGTGGTCAGGAATCCCATGTACTCGTGAAGCAGGCAAAAGCTGCTGCAAAATGAAGGAACGCTTTTTGGCAAGTCCTGTTTAAAAGACCTGAAAAGCACAGGATTTCTCTTTTAGCTGGGCCTGAACTCGAACCAGTCCCAGAATGAACAGAGGCGGCATGCCGGAGCCCGAGGGTGAATGGAAAAGGTGCAGCTCGGCACAGCAAGTGCTTCTTGAGAGCTTGCCAGGGGTGTCATTTCTAAATCCACAACTGAGGCACTTCTGGCATTCTTAGAAATAGGTTCTTGACCTTTGAGGAAAGAAAGAACATTGTGAGTCATGTGTTTGCTTGCCTTGGCGTAAGCTTCATTGGTCTGCATATCTAGGACATGTTTTTGCAGTGACAACCCACCTTGCAGGAACTAGCCTGTTCCTTTTGGAACTCTGAGAAGGTCCGATCTGTCAATGGTCTGTCTATTAGGGTTAAAAACAGACAACTTTAAATGCTAGGTGCATCTTCTCTTCTCTTCTCTTTGCAGAATCTCTAGCATGAGAATAAGGGGACTTTTTAATGTCTCACCCTGAACCTAGTCTAAAGTACAAAAGGATGCAGCTTCTAGACAGAGATTTAAAGCAATGTTTGTTTTGATCCTTACACAGGACAAGGGTGATTAGACCAGGAAAGCCCCAGTGTGGTATAATTTTAAAAGGCAGAGCGCACGTTTTGACAAAGCCCTGGAGGACGTGGCACTGTGGTTATTCCAGCACAGGAGGCCTCTGGCTCTGCTCTGGGACCCCTGCTCTTAGGGGATGTCTCCACGTGTCAGAAAAGCTACCCAGCTGTCAGCATGTGGTTGAGGAAGGCAGCGGTGTCCTCAGTCACGAGTGAGACGGTGCCCAGCTCTTTGATTCAGTTGAAGGCAGCTTGGTTTTGCTGACATTCTCTGCATGCAAATAGTGCATGAATTCACAGTCTACCGGCCTTAGTGCAGCCAACATGGGAAGAGCCAGTGTGGTGTAGTGGTTAGAGCACAGGACTGGGACTCGGGCGATCCGGGTTCGAGTCCCCGCTCGGCCATGGAGCCCACTGGGTGACTTTGGGCCAGTCACAGACTCTCAGCCCAACCTGCCTCACAGGGTTGTTGTTGTGGGGATAAGATGGAGGAGGAGAATGATGTAAGCTGCCTTGAGCCCTTTGTAGGGAAAAGGCAGGATATAAATTGCAATATAAATAAATACATAAAAATAAAATAAGTTGGAAGCAGAGGGCAGAATTTCCCTGAAAGAATCCACCGTGCTATTGGAGGGCTCTTCAAGAAGTTCAGTGTAAAACTGCTAACTATTTTTGGAACACTCACCGCCGCTGTCGGACAATCAGTGCTAAGGAACTTGAACTCTCATCCTCCTTTGGATAGTTTCTTACATAGGCGGGACTGGACGGGGGACAAAAGCTTCGGAGCTGCTTGCTTTCGCTATTTTCTCTGCTGCGTGAGCTGAATGTTTCTTTGTGTGGCAGATTTTCTCGTGGTTTGTGCAGCACCTCCACCTTCTGGGTGCTCTGCAGGTGCGGCATTATTGTGGTTAGTCCATGCCAGAAATCTGTGCTCTGGGAACAGGTGGTTAAAAACGCAGTGAAGCAAAATGGCATTGAATGGGCTCCCTGGACTATCACCATTGATAGCCTCTGTCATTAATGGCTCTTGGAAAGGAAAGCAATGGAGGGGTGGGATTTGCTGAGCACTGCAGTCCAAATTACGGCCTCGGTTTTTCAGCTTTGGGACATCTCTAAGTACCAAATGATGGAAATTTAACAATAGGATGACTCTCTCTCCCCCTCACC